CCCGTGCCTACAGTAGAGTCGCGCCAGGATGGTCATCACGTCCGAAAAAGAACGGCACCCTGAAATGAGCCCAATGCAGAGACAGGCGAGCCAGGCAGGCGGGCCGTAGCAGGGCCGTGGGTCACCGCCACCGTCGCGGGCCCCGCGCGGGGCGGGGTCGGGGTCGGGAGGGGGCGTCCCCATACATCCTCGTCTCACTCGACACAGAGACGACGACCGCGCGTTCGCATACGGTTCCCCCGCTACGGAGACCGACTCTACAATCCGCGATATTGAAGCAATAATCGCTCTCATGTTAAATCAGTTATTTATTTGTTTCAAGTGAATAAACGCGTTGGTCCATAGCGTGGCAGAGGCTGCATGCCTGCCAGGCGCCTGGCCGGCCCGGCCGTAGCGCCTGTGAATGCGAGGTAGGCAGCGCGCTGGGCGCGGCGCTTGGGCGGGCGGCCCGCCCTGCCCGCCCCGGGCGCCGTGCGCCGCCGCCGGGCCGCCGGGCCGGGGCGAGCTTTATAGGTACTACTGGCAGATGAACCAGATCACCAAGGGTAGGTTGCCTTGTCTCTGCCGTGTCTGCGAGGTGTTCAAGTTCTCGCGCAGGTGGCCGTCACCGCCAGAGTGCCACATACTAGTGCCACGAGCTGGCCCCCCTGCTTGGCCGTGGCCGTGGCCTCGGGCTGCATGCATATGACCCCTCCCCTCCAGCCAAGGCCTGTGCACGAGTGCGTGTGCGTGTGTGTGTCCTTTAGGCGACGCCATCGGTCCTCGGTGCCGGCGCCCTGCGCGGGGAGAAGAGGAAGGGGTGAGGGGGGTTAGGGACGACGCCGTCGGGGCGCGGCTGGGTATAAATGGAGACGCCCCGCCTCTCTCTGGAGGAGTCGCGCCGGTCCCTCGCGTGTGTGTTGTGTGCAGTGCAGTGCAGAAGGCTGGAGTGCGCGAGTGTCGGAGCAGGACTAAAAGGACTTAACTCAGGTAGGAGAGAAAAGACAAACAGCTGAAGAAAATGAAGGTAACCGCCGGTTTTTTGCTAATTCGTGTATCGAGATGGTTATGGTGGTTGTGGCACAGTGATTGGACCAGATATGTGCGTTTAAAAAGTGTTTTGTGAAAATCATTTAGACTCTTAAAGAGAGTATACAATCAAGGCAAAAAGAGTTAAGCCCCTCTGATGGCGACATTTCAAGGTGAAAGGCGAAAGGGTTCAATTCTTTATGCGGAGATGGTACGTATGTTTTATTGTAGATATTTTCCCCGTTAGATCGATGCATACCCTTCTAATATTTTTAGACCCTTTGTCTAGTACCGGTAAAAGATTTGAAAATTTTGATTATGGATGTGTAAAATTAACTTGCCAATTATTTATTATTTTTTTTCAATGGCTAGAAAGAATAGATTACGTTTTCGACCAGAGTTGGTATTTTGTTCTTCTTCTGGTGTGAAAATTGCTATGAGATAATTTTAGTGCCCACCACCCCGCCGAAGCGACCGGACGTGGACGTGACCCCCCGGGGCCTCGGTACCGTTTCGATTGCCGGGGGGAGGGGGAGGGGGGGGAGACGGGGCCTGGAGGATATGCACAAGAGGCGCTAGGCGTGCCGCGCGAGGATGGGGGAGGGGGGCGAGGGGGTTGCCGGAAACGTCGTGAGTGAGTCATTGGCGACGGTGCAGCACGTGTACTGGTTCGGGGCCGAAAGACTCACTGTCTCTTCACCTTTCTGTCCTCTGTTGCAGATCGAACAATGGAGCGATTCGTCGTACGTATGCTCGGTAAGCCCGTTATTCTCTGTCTAGGGAACAGCAGTAGCTATGTTTTTGCCTTACCATGTCTTTATCATTGCGCCCTTCCTTCCTCCTGCAGTGCCCGTCTTGGCGGCCGCGGTGGTGTCTGCCTTCCCCAGGATCAGGGTAAGTCGAGGACAGTCCTGATGTACTCGGCCAGGGTGCGCGCGGCCGTCAGCATGACGGTTTGCTTTGTGCACCCGCAGGTGGCGAGGGACACTGGGGCGGCGCTGCGCATGGGGCTGCCGTCCAACGCCACGTCCATCCGCTCGGACGAGATGCTGTCGGAGAAGTTCTCGTGCGCGGGCCGGCACTACGGCTACTACGCGGACCCGGACAACGACTGCCAGCTGTTCCACGTCTGCCTGCCCGTGCAGTTCGACGACGGCCGCGGCTCCATGTACAAGTGGAGCTTCGTGTGCCCCGAGGACACCGTCTTCAACCAGGAGACGTTCACGTGCAGCAGGCGCGAGGACGCCATCAACTGCCAGGACTCGGAGCGCTTCTACGGCCTCAACGAGGACCTGGGCGTGTCGCGCAAGCAGCTGCAGCAACAGCAGCAGCAGCAGGAGGAGGCCGAGGAGGCCGAGCCCACCGACGACAGCATGGCCGAGGTGGTGGAGGACGTGCCGTACCAACCGGCGCACGCCGCGGTCTACCCGCACGCCGTCGAGAGGCCCACAGAGGCGCGGCCGCCGCCGCCGCAGCAGGTGCACCAGCTGCACCAGCAGGCTGACAGCGCCATGCAGCAGCAGCAGCAGCAGCAACAGCAACAGCAGCAGCTGCATCAAGCCTCGACAGACCCGTTAGACGACGGTGTCAGTAAATACGGAGCCTTCACCACCATCAGATACTAGAAGCGTGGCAGAAAAGGAGAACAGAAAAACACAGGCCCTGTTGCCATGTTGTTTTTTGGTTGTTGTCCTTCCTGCAGCCCCTCCCGCTCTTCCTGCCAATGCTTTCCATCTTTCTAATTATTCCCCCACCCCTTTCCCTTCCTTTTCCCCGCTACTTCGCCTCTGAATCAGTCTTGTCTTGTACATGCACCTTACTTGCACACTATCTATTTATTTGTCAGGCATGACTCACAGGTAGAGGAAATCTGGTCCATGAGTTCCAACACAACTTACCTGCCCTTCTTATTCGGTAAGGTAGTGTTGGTTTGTTCTTTTAATTGGATAAGATTGCCTCTCTAAAATTGAGCCTTGGTCTGCCACCTAAAAATGGTAAATCGATGCTCAACTGTCATAATAATAAAAGAAAAAAAGAAACATCTATGCTAATAAATTATGTACTGTAAAACTGTTTTCAGCATTCACACTTTACTGTTCCTACTCTCTTCTAATATTAACCATTTGATTACTAGAAATTACATCTTCCTGAGAAGCACCAAATTCTCACAATTTACGTTAGACGTAGTAATGCTCCATTCATTAAATTAGTGTCAGATTGATGTCATGAAGGATGATGTGAAGTCATTTATAATGCAATTAACTTGGGTCAAAAAATATATATTGTTACATTTCGGCACAAACACTCGGGATGATTTAAGAAACTAAAGTACTCAAAAACAGGAAAACTAAGACAGGAATGTCACTTTAAATTAAAAGTTGATCACAAAGATACAATAATAAATAAACTAGGGTATTCAAATAAATTTCTAAACTTTTCTAACTGGTTACATATTGACTGAGGCAGCGAGAGAGCATACTCTACATCTGTATTTAATGTTAAATATTGTCTAAAGTAGTTCCTGTGATCAACTAGAATTCTAAAACTCTAGTCTTTATGATACCATTTCCTAATAGTATTATCCATTGAATATGTGGTCAGATTATCAATTGGATGAATAATAAAAGGTATAGATAAAAGTCCAACAGCAGTGGTAATATACTTACGTGTTGGCTTAGGCAGTTTCGTAGTTTTTTTCAAGAGGTAGTAATTTGCAACACAAATCCTGTTTATGGTAAATCCTGGGATAGCTATAGATGCAAGAGTCTGCCAGAGGAGAGTATCTGCACCAGCAATGATAACCTTCTTGTGAGTGTATGAAGCGGTTTCATCAACTGCCGACAGGGACTGGAAAATTACGCCATAAGATACTTCAGCAAAACAAATTCCTTTTTATATGTTCATGGTTTAAAAAAATAATCAACATACCTTCTTCATTTTTACTACTTTGTCTCTTACATCAGCTAGGACATAGAGAAAAGCTGATGCATAGCTTAAATTCACAACTGTTTTGGGGATTAGTGGACGAAATGCTTCGCCAACCTCATTGGTGTATCCTGCACAATTTGGTGGAGGGAATAAAATATTATGAGTGTTCGATAAAAATCAGCAATCACTGAGGCAATTTAAAAAATAGTTGACCTACCTATGAATCTGAGAGGAGTGTCACGATAAATGTCAACTTCTTTTGGCTGCTCCATAACTGGTTGTTCCTTAACCTATTTGTGAATGATGAAGCAACGAGTGAGCCTCTTGAAATAGAAGCACCCAAGAATATAATTAGATAGTAAGATAAATTTGACACCTATTACAAGTTTAGTTTGGGTATGACATGGAAAGATTAAGGAAAATAAATCAAAAGAAAGGGCACTTTGCGTCGTCTGCGTCTGCCGTTTGCTAGATTGCCATACCCACCTCACTTTACACAGCCTACCCCCACCACGCCTGCCGGCCCGTGCGCGAGCCCGATGCGCGGCGGCTGCAGGCTGCAGCTCGCAGCTCCAAGTCTGGTGGTGGCTGATCAGCGCAGAGGCGGCTTCAAATTTAATTTTCTGAATTTGCTCGGGATTTTTGTGGAACATGCTTAATTGCAGAGGATGTTCCAAGGTAGAAAGTCCAGTAGTGAATCAAGTTTGATCGTTGTCAATTCACTTAAATATCAATTTAGATAGATCAAGTTCATTGTGCGATTCTGGTATCTTGTTCACCTCTTGAAAAGTAAACCGTAATATAACCCTTTCAGCAGTTATCTACTAGCGCAAAATACTGAGGGATGAGAGACGTAATGAGAATAATACATTAATTTATTTTCTTATCTACTAATCATCTAGTTGTTTCATTGGATCTAAACGATATAAACTTGTATTTCTTTCCGTTTTCTTTCCGGCACACTATATCAATGCCACTATTAATTAAATTTAAAAAGTGCTGCCTCTGAATTTTATCGTCTACTTTACTATACATCTTTTTTTTGATATAGTAGCAGGGTTTAATACAGTGGCAACTCGTTGCCTGTAAAATATTTCTCATGATGTGACTTATGCAACATATTTCTTACAAAAATAATTTTACAAAGACTAATATTACATCTTTCAAAATTCTTCTCTTAACGGTCTTTGACCAAGGTTTTATCACTGTCAAAAGTAACACAAATTCGTTTAAGTGACGTCAATGATTCACTTTTACTTCCTTTTATAAATCTAACAAGATATTAACATTTTTTAATGAAATAAGCAAAGCAAAGATGTATGCTTTTGTTCCAAGGTGCATGAGCAAACAAACAACAACATTCAACATATTTATGTGACAGTGGTGGGACAAGAAGATTAGAGACATGTTTTGTAAATTATTTCTCCAAAATAGTTCAGCCTTACAAAGTGGAGCAGGGATATTGCAACAACAGAAAACTGAGAAAACAATTTTTTTTTCATAAAGATGCAACTGATATCACTGTTTATCCTAGCTACATGGTTTAAACTGATACAGTGGCTGTATCACCTGATGCAAATTAACAGAACATTTAAAGGTGGCCCTCCAATGAAACTTGGAACCCATCACCCATCATTTCAGATTTTGCTGTTTTTGATGCTGCCCGAGTTTTCCTAAATTTAATTTGGAAGTTTAGTAATGCATTAAATACATTTTCACAAATTATGAACATATTTGAGTGACCATATACGGGTCTACTCATGCCTGCAAAATTTGTGAAAATTTGTTTATTGCATTACTAAACATTTAGCAAACTTGGGCTGCATCAATAAAATCTAAAATGATGGGTGATGGGTTCTAGGTTTCATTGGAGGGCCACCTTAACAGAGTACCAGATGCATTTGCGCAAACGTGCCAATTGTTTAGCAAAACCAAATCAAAGAAAACTCATTTGAATGTGAAAATTATAGTGAGACTTCTAAATGTGCCCCATATTTAAATCTGTTGATCTTTTAACTGTTAATTTGCTTAATGCCAAAAATTGCCAGCAGAAATAAGCGATATAGTCCGGCACACGATTATTGACTTCTTTCAAAATATGATTCCTTGCATGACAGAAAAATATTTTTAATACATCGTGTTTCTTTTTAAAATTGGTGTTTTACAATGGGCTTTGCTTTTAAATGACTCATATGGAATTGTCTTTACAAGATCCATATTAATTTGTTACACATATTTGGTAAATTGACAACAAACAAACTTTGCCTACTAGACATCCGACTCTGAACCATCCTCCACAATTAAGCATATTCCTCAAAAATCCCGAACAAAGTCAGAAAATTAAATTTTAGCATCATTTGCAGCTGCATGCAAAGTGCTGATCAGCCACAGCCACCAGCGACTTCGCGCTGCAGCTGCCGCGCATCGGGTTCGCGCATGGGCCGGCGCGCATGGTGGGGGTAGGCTGTGTAAAGTGAGGTGGGTATGGCAATCTAGCCTGCCGTTTGTGTTGTGATTTCTTCTTTCTATTCTTCTTCTTCCTGTGAAGTCTTATCAACACGAAAACTTTTCTCGGTACCTAATTTGGTTTTTGGAATTCGATTACCCGCACATTTTTGGAAATGCGTTTCAAAAAATATCCATTATTTCAGAAGCGAGAAAAATATGCAAATTTTAATCTCATCAAGAAATGTTTTCCACATTTTATTTTTAAACTTTTTCTGTTGGTAGCGTTGGAGGGGTCATGAACTGAATTTAGGCCCCTCCCCCTTTTTGAAGCAGAAGCAGACCGTATAGTTTGCCGCTCACCGATCGTGCGTTCAAGATGCAAGTATTTTGTGAAGAAACTTTCAGAAGGTACGTAAATCCATTCATAATTCGTACACTGTATTTTCGAGATGAATATGACCTTTTGCATTGCCCGGTTTGCACGCAATGTCTTTCTCTGTACGTCGACTCATGGAACTTATGTGGATGGTATACTTAGGTTATGTACTTCTATTTCTGTACCACTGAAAAAAAAAATCACATGAGCATTCCTAGTATATTTTTCTCAAGATCTTATCTTCACTCTTGGCATGCTGTATATGTCATTGCTTTCCTTCTTATAATTTTCTTTGTTGCGTTGACCACTATGATAAAATTGAACATTTAAATGAATTTTGTTTTATTACTATTTGCTTTACCATTGATGATTGCCCTATGAAAAATCTGCTTATCCTTCCGTTTATGATTGACAGAACTTGAAGTGTGAAATCTCTGAATCAGTAGTCATTTCTTTCTGCTGCACAAGGTCTGCTTTGGAGGAGTGGTGAGTTTCGACAATTAATTGATTTAATAAACACTGTTTTATGATTTGATGTGAGTAAACCTGTAGCATGCAGTGTTATTAGGTCGTGATTTTTGGTTTTGTATTTCACTTCCCCCTGGGCCCTGATTAATTTTATTGATTTCCAAATCATAGATAACCAAAAACTGTCATTAACAGTAGTAATTTACTTAATTACAATTTCATGACTGACATCATTGCAGTATTTGAATTGAACTTTTGCTCGCTGAGTCGTCTAGGTAGACTATCTGTTCTGCAATAATCTTGGAGCATTGCGAGTGTAGACCTTTTAACACCAATCTAATTAATTCTTGGTTCATTAGCGTGGATCAGTGTAACACGTGCTTAGCTAGGCTACTGCTTGTCGCTTTGGCTGCCTACTTCTGAGGCGCCGTCGCGCACCGTCGCTGCCACTGAGCGGCAGCAGCGGCACGCTTGCAGCTGGCACGTAGAACGGCCGCCGCCCGGTGGGTAGGCAACCCATTCGGCTTCAGCGTAGCGCTCGATGGCGATCGACTACGAGCTGGAAGAAATACTAGCCACTACGGTCCTGAAGCTGATCTCTCCTAGCGGGTGCAGATACTGGACGTTGTCATGTGTAGTCATGTGTATATACGCCGGTTACGTTTTATTTTGGTCTTGAGCAACCCGTGCTCCGTATATTAGTGCCAGAGCTTCACTCGCTTGCTCGCTCGGCAATGAACACCGCCCATTCAAAGGTTCAGGGACGTCCTGTTCATTGCGCTATTCACTTTCATCTCGGCTCGAGTTCGTCGACCGGCGTATCGCTTGATCCGAATCCGACGTGACAGAGGACCCGCTGCTGCCGTAGCCGGTCCCGCCAGGGTCATGGTGTGTTCGAGGAACAGGAAACTGATTTCTGCTTTTAAGTATTTTTGTCGCCTCACAATTTATGTCTGGCGTCTGACGCCGCCGATCACTCCAAACTAAAACAGGTGTCACGGCTGGAATTTTTAATTGTTTTTCTGGTTTATTTGCTGCTTGAAGTAGTCCAATGCGCGCGCGCGCAAGTCTCGCGACGACACATGACGAGATTTCATTTTCTTTTTGCGGTGGTCTGATCTGACTGGCTCGGGTGCCCCGCGCCCATGGCCTGCTGCTGCTGCACGCTGGCCGGCCCGGCCGGCCGACTGACCGCTCCACCTGCCCACTCTGGTCTACGCCAGTCTACGCAAACACGACGACGTGGGAAGGGGTTGATTTCGTCTCGCATTCTGCATCTGCTGACGTCACATGTGGTCTGTGTGTTGACGGCCGGCCCGGCCTGGAGGGGAGGGAGGGAGGGGTCCAAAGGTGTGCGCTTGCTTGGAAGTCGCCGTCGCGTCGCGTCGCTCAGCCCGGGGCTAGGACGGTAGAACACCGGGGCTCGGATGGCTCGCCCGGGGCGCATTGCAGTCCTCCCTCCTCCCTTTGGACCCCGCGCCAAGCTCCTCCGCGGCCTTACACTCCATCGCGGTGCTCGCGCGGGCTGGAGCTGGGCGGTAGTGCCAGCCAGGGTACGGCGGCACGGCGGCGGCAGGGCAACCGTTTGGGGAAACATCACTTTGACGCATGATACAGTATGGCTATTACAGGACCCCAAGCAGACGTGGCTTAGCGGGGGGGGGGGGGACGACAATTGCTCCTCGTGTCGTCTTTAGTGAGCTGACTGCTGCCTGACTGACAGGTAGGCTTCTGAGAGTCCTATGCTGGCTGTACAGTATATGACTCTTATGGCAATCTATGCTACAAAACCCCCTGTAGGCAATCCACACGGTGCATTTTCTCGCCCCCTGTTGTCCGACGAGTACCTTTTAAACCACACGCGCCTGCTGCCGGCAAGGCCATATCACACGGCGTCTTTACATCAAAGGAATGTTACCCCGGTTGCCGGCCTCGCCCTGCTCCCTCCCCCTTCCTCCCCCTCCCCTCCACTCTCCCCAACCCTCCAAGCGGCGAGACGCGCCGTTTCATTATTTCGACATTGACACGTGAGAAAAGCGCGGGAGCCGCCGGGCTCAGCAAACGGAAGCCGAAGTCAAAAGAGAAATAAACGAATGCGCTCGATGCCGCAATGTTTAATTCCTGATTCGCCACCACGCTTTGATTAGAAAGTCACTCTACGCCGTGAAAAGAACCATGCATCTTTGCGATTCGAAGTACATCGTGTCATCACGGGGGAGTTCTTTTATCATCCTCATTCACTATGGTAAATGAGGACTTGTCAAACCAAGTGTGAATGAGAAGAAATAGTACAGTGTCCATGTGTCCATGTGTCCATGTGTCTAATTTTACGACTACATAGTGGTAGCTGTTTGGTTCTTTTTTTACGGTGCAGTGCGCAGCGACTGCGTCGCGCGGCCCAGAAAAAAAATCATTGCGCCGTGGAGAGTTCGCATTATCCGCGAGAACGCGCATAAAAAGCTCGCGGGTATCGCGGAAAGCCCGGCGCACCGCCGCAATAACTTGGTGAAACGGCTGCTAGCCGGCGTGCGTATGGGTGCGGTGTGTGTGGGTCTCTGGGAGAACATCTGCACACCTGTCTCTCTGGCTGCGCCGGGGGTGGGTCGGGTGAGGTGGCAGCGGGG